ACCTGTCAATTGTTTGGTTTGCTTGGCGAGTGTCTTGGCGTAGATTCTTTCGGTTTTTGTTCCCTCGAATTTCTTGCATTGTTCTTTTTCGCGGTTCTCTTTTTTTTTTTTTTCCTGCTCTCAACTTTGGCCCACTTTTGCTTTCTTTTTACGTATGTGAATTGCGAAACTTTTGGGCATCTGTGCCTTGGGTAAAAAGCTCCAGGCGGAAGCTTACCGTTTTCTTCCGATAACGTTATGAAAATACAGAACCGTCTCCACTATTGCACGGCGCACATACCGACATTTGAAACAGAACTGGAGGCTCTGAGCAAACACTAAGAGCCTTTGAACACAAACCAGGAAGAAGGAGGTCTTTAGTGTGTAAGCGATAAGTTGAAGAATCACGATATTTTTTTTTTTTTTTTTTGCCGGATCTATTTAGCAATCTTACCGATTACACATTATTGGGGTTGTGGGGAAGTTCTGCCTCATATACCGGATTGACATGCTTCAAGAGGGGTAATCAGTTTTCCTTTTATTGGCGTATAATTCAGATAAGATTATCACAGTGATCCGATTTCGGTTTTTTCCGTTCCCTCCCCGGAGATTTGCTGCAAGATTACTTTTTACAGAAGTGAGCCCCTCATATTAGCTTGGCATTAATCCTACCTCCTACCCCCTTCTTGCTCAACCTTCATCGACTGACGTGTCCACGATTTTTTCTTTCAATAACAGGGCGTGTGGCGTAGTTGGTAGCGCGTCTGCCTTGCAAGCAGAAGGTCACCGGTTCGACTCCGGTCTCGTCCATTTTTTCCTACATCTGCTTCTCTTCATATTTTTATTCAAATTTCAAAACTACCTTCTTTACCTCCCCCCTCTCAAATCTCTCGTAGTATTCTGCAGCCTCTTCGATTGACGGTGTTGCGTCAATCAAGGTGTTGAGCTCACTTTTCAACACTTCAAAAAGTTCTAACGCCTCCTCGAATAGAGACCAAGTGTTACAACGACCGAAACTCACTGTCAAACATTTTGCATAGCATTGCAAAGCATCGAATGGCAATCCCTCGTGGCCCATACCAACAGAGCTGATGAACCCACCTCTACGGACGTGGTCAAATGCAGTCTTCATGGCTGACGTCGCTCCAACGATTTCTAACACAGCGTCGTAGCCTCGCAGCTCAGTCAATTTTGCTGTCAAACTGTCCAATTTATCTTCCCCCGAGTGGAAGTTCACCACTTCCGATGCACCCAATTGTTTTGCCTGTTCCAAGCGGTCCTCGATCCCATCTACAACAACAATCGATTTGAATCCATAATGTGCCAAGATTGCCACAGCACAAAGACCTACAGGGCCGGCACCCATTTGCAATATAGTAAGATCTGATGCAGAATAACTGCTGAAAAAGTCTCTAACCTTCTTCACTCCGAAATACGCTGTGACAAAGATGTCTGCCATGAGTGTATAGACAGCATCATTAGAATCGCCATTCTGAGGTTTCTTGATCAACGTTGATGTTGCATACGGGACAAGAACGTACTCCGCTTGCGCACCTTGTAACCCTGTCTTCCCAAAAGTGTTTGTTTTGTCGCATGTTCCAGATAGACCATTTTTGCAATACCAGCATTGGCCACATTGGATTGTGAATGTTGATATCACTTCATCACCCACTGTAAGCTGTGAGTCGGGGATTTCTGATCCTTTAGCCACAACAGTCCCCACAAATTCGTGGCCCATAGTCTGCCCTTGAGCTGATGGGATATGTCCTCGATAATAGTGTAGATCCGACCCGCAAATACCACTGTATTTGACTTTTACCAAAGCATCTGTTGCAGACTGGAGTTCGGGAATGGGTTTCGACACCGTCTCCACACAGAATGGTTTCTTAAAAGCAACGGCCCTCATAATTCTATTGGTTTTTCTAGTCGAGAAGAAAAAAAGTTGAAGGACTTACTTTAGGGAGTATGTAAAAGAGTTGAGTGGAACTAGCGGAAAAGTGGAACGAGAAACAGCCTTTACCCCGGATTAAATGGGGAGTCACGTGAACCCCGCAACTATGATTATTCTCGTGCAGAAATTAGAAGGCTGAATTCATAAAACGTATTCTTGTAATCCTTTCCAACCCGATACAACCAAGCGGGTTAAAATTGTGAGGGGATTTTGCATCCTATATCCTGTTTGTAAAAGATAAAAGAGGACAATATTAAATCCCAACACCTGCGCAAGAGTTACGTACAGTGTGTAAGTGAACACCGTGAGAATAGTCACGACCCAAGGAGGAAATTTTTGAACTGTGCTGGTTTTTTCAAATGCTTCAGAAAAACGGTATATCAATGTTTCGTTATGCAATGAACAAGTTCTGATAGTCTCGTTAGCCAGATGAATACTCATACAAGTTGTTCGAAGTTTGTTGGCGAGGTTGTCGACTATGAAGTTGGATACAGAATCTGTCCTCAATGCTTCTCCACCATACATCATTGTATGTCTATGCAAAAGGAGTGGAAATCCTCTCATGGCATAGGTGTAGAGATCCCAAAGTGAATTATCTGAAAACGTAGCGGCACACGCAAACATAAGAGAGGACTTAATGACACCCCACACATAATGGCCTATAGTTAAAAAGTATAATAGCCACCGAAGGCACTTCACGCAAATGGAAATCGCTGATAATACTGTTGCAGATATCGCATGCCAAAAACTGCGGGGGCGGTTTCTCCGCCAGAGGAGACCGTAGTTCACCACTGGAAGAGGAAGAAAGCCAAATACCCATATGACATGTGCAATCCGTTCTCGATGACCCGCCATCCTGAGATTCTCGTCATTGATATATTGGTGTAAGTCTCGGCGAAAACCATCAGCGATGATGGGATCTAGCGCCATAAGTGCCTGGATAACTTCATTTTCCCTATCTTGTAACTGCAAGTTGTCTTGTTGGGCAAGAATTTGTAAGTCCCGATTAGTATCCATTCCAGTGGGACTTATTGTGACTTGAAAGGAGATCTGCAGACTATGAACGGTGAATTGTGTGCACGACCGCACAAGTCAGTCGTGCAGGCAAGGTTGGGGAGAACTGAGACAGATAAGGAGAAACAAAAAAAAAGTTAATAAATGGATGAGAATGAGCCAATTGTTCGCTTTTTTTTACTGAGAGGATTCCTGTTTGTTGAGAAAGAGGCAAGTCACATTTTTAGCTCCATTGTGTCTCCTCCGGCACTGGCCCATGATTCTCGTAGTAAACAGAAGTCCAGAGATGTACTATCGCTTTGCTTTCATGCGCCAACTTCTTCCGCAGGAGAATCTTGGGTCGGAGCGCGGGAAAAACCGCGTACCCTTCCCTATTCACAAAGTGGCTTACTGTTGGATAAAAATTGTCGGCCACATAAACAGAATCGCGCGCCTCAATGAATGTGGGCAGAAGTGCTTTTTGATCTCCTCGTGATAAAAGACATAAATCAAAGACACGGCTGAGAATTTCTGCTCCTTGCACGTAGCAGGGCCAAGGTGGGTGAGGCAGGCTAGGCGGAACGCTCATTGGAGCAGAAAAGAGCTCTACTTCGGCGCGAGCGCGCATGACGAGAAATGGCCATAGTGCGGAAAGTTGTAGCCCGCCTGCCAAAAGAAGACTCCAGATCACTTGCTCATACCTGTGCGGGAGTTCAGGATCATCGAGGGGCAGGGTAGCTGCAGCGAGAATGTACTTTCTTGCGCATTCTAATACGTCTTCTCTATTGTAGAGTAAGGCATTCGCAGATATATGTCGCGCAGGTACCAGTGTGCTATCTTGACTGCGAAAATCGATTTGGGCCGCCTGGGCTCGGTTTCGCGCCAAAAGCCTGTAAACATGACCACAACTTGAGAAAAACATCACCTGCCGAAGCGTTGGACATGTATAAATTTCACGTTTTGATTCAGCTAAAGATGTGATAACAGTCTCCAAATCTTCAAGCGAAGTTGTTTCGCAAGCACTGAGTGCGCCAAGCATGGCTAGTGACGATCTCTCATATTCCAGTGCGCCCCAGAGTTTTGAGTGTGCCTGTGCCCTATCAATAGCTTCAATCGCGCGAAGGGCGGAAGTTAAGCAGCAGGGCAGCCGAAGCAAAAAATGCGCGGCCGCCTCCGCAGAAGTACGCCTACTTTGAAAGAGCGCGCCAGTCAGAGTATCTTGCATCTGGTTATCTGGCGGTCCCGCTTTTTCACTTTTTGTGTGCTTCGCATGCCAATCTGTTGCTATGGTCAGGAATGCCAGCGCTAGAGCTGTAATTGGCCCGCCTGAAGAAACTGCTCGTAATAAAAGATGGGGAGGAAAGCCCAAGTATGCCAACTCTTTTGCTTGGGTTTGTTCTCCAGCCATTGCAGCAGAGTACGAAAGCGGGTGAACAAATAATCCGGCTGCTTCAAACTCAGAGAGTGCCGTTTTTAATTCAGGTGGAGGCATGTCGATCACCGGGCGCGCGCAGCCAAATACTGCCCTGTTGGACGCTGCCTCGTCTAAAGGAGCGCGCATTCCCAGGACCCGTGCTAGCGCAGCCAAGTAGATATTCCTCTCGCCTGGATCCAGTGAGTTTTCGGCCGCGGCTGCAGCAATAAGTAGCGCAGCTCTTGTGCGGCCTATGGCGGCAAGTGCCATGCATACATCAAGTTGTGAATTATTTTCAAGTATTGATGAAAAAGGATTCATTAGTAAAATATGGTCAGATTGGATAGAAAAATCAAAAGTTGATGTTTGTTGGCCGTGATAGGGGACAGGGGTAGGTAGAACGACAAGGTTTGAGAGAAGAAGAATACGGGAATGCAACGAATTCAGCGATCAATAGATGATCGATAGAGCAGAAATTGGAACGCAGAGATGTAATTACCAGAAGAGAGCACCAAATTTGGGGACTTAGATACAAACAAAGAAGCAAGGTGAAGACTGAAAATAGTTTGTACTAGAGACAATGGGATTTATAATTTAGATAGACCAACTAGATTCAGGGCAAGAAAGGCCGGTCACACAATGGCTGGTCTGGAATTGTTGGGAATTAAAAACTTAATATGGGTTCAACACTAGAAGAAATACTGAGGTAGGGTTCGGTTTGCGCATTGTTGGCACGAAAATATGTCTGTTGATCTCCTTTAACAATCGCTCTAAGCGCAAAACCCTCTCGTACCACAGACTCAATAGGGAAAGTGTTCGCATTCCGAAGGGTCCGCGCACAAATGCCAATTACCCCAATCCGGGGGGTCGTGCGGAGCCTAACCTTCTAAATTGGGAATAACTGCCAACGCGTCACAGAATCTAGACGGGACCCTTGATGACCTCAGAGTAGTATTATAGGTTCCAATCGTCAATAGTAAGGTTACGAATGCTGCTCTCTTTTCTCCAGCCTCATTTGCTCTTAGTTTGCTCTCGGCCCCTTTTTATGCTGGAGTTTAACTTTATCTCGCGCTTAGTTTTCGCGCGCGTCGAAACCCAAGTACAGCTACTTTTGCTCCGTCTTTTCTTTCTTTTCCACTGCTACTTTCTTTGCGGATCTAACGTGACTTCCTTTCCAGTCAAATCCAAGAGCGTTGTTGTTTGCATCTTTCGTATCCTTCTGTCTTTTGCTCCACGCGTATTCTTCCTTCACAGCATTCCCGCGTCGAAATTCGTTCTCTTGCAGCAACTTCGTCCCTTTGCCAAATCTCCTAACTGGAAAGATTGAGATTAAAGCCTGAGTCTGCAAGCTTTTAATACGGGCTTCTCTTTCTGTTCTGCATTTTTTGGTGTCTCACCTTTTCCACTCATCGCAGCGAAATTTAAGCTTTTCTTACCCGCCAGGCACCCTTGTCACTAGCCGCCAGGAACTTTGTCTCTCTTCTAGCTTTCTCGCTCACCCACTGGCTTTCTTATTATCTTTGAAGACTTTTGCAACTATGAAGAACAAACTCTCCCTCAAAGTGGCCTCCTTGGACGCGCCTGCACCACTTCATACCCCAATTGACCAGATGGTATCCACGCCGCAGGAGCCGCCGCATGGCGCGTCTTACTTCCTGCTCTACTCACTCCCCCAGTGCGCTGACAGTGACGACGTGCTAACCGATGCAGATGAGCCCCGTGTGCTCCGAAACCACTCGCTAGTGTTCACCCCCTTGTTTGACCTGCTCTTATGGGGCGTGTATACGCAGCTCTTGCTGCAGCCCACCACCAAACCATTTCTGGGCCCTGTGCCACCTTCGGGACTCGCGTCGCGTGCTGCCAATGATACCGTTCACGCCCTTATTCGCCATCTGGCAGAGACGCCTACTGCAGTTTACGATGCCCAAGGCTCTTTGACTGTCGACGCCTTGAACTCACGTGCGCACCAGCCTGTGATTTTGCTGTTGATTCGTAAACGGTTACTTGACTTATGCCTGCTGCAGCGCACACAGGCAGCTCCTCCCGCCGTCACAGCGGTGCAGGTGGCCGTGCCGCAGCTGGTGGCGCAGGCGCCGCTGCTGGTATACATGAGTTTTGGTGCACGTCAACTGTCCATCTCCAATTTGCTGTTGACGGAACAAAATGTTGCGCAGTATCAGGGATCTCGGGGTGGCGCGCCGCCACTTTCTCTGAACCGCCTGCGCCTGTCCTCGTTAAGCTTGCGCAAGCATTCTCTCACGCGCAATAACTCGGGCACAAACTGGTTGCATGTTGGAAATATTTCGTCAGGCCGTGGTGGATTGGGTAACCCAGACTTAGGTGCTTCTACAGACCTGCTTCAGCTGATGACTGACTTCGTCCCTGCAGCGTTTGTCAGTCGCCCACAACAGCAGCCGCAACAACAACAAGGTCTGCAGGGCCAGAATCAACAACAGCAAGGAATGTGGGGCCCACAGCCGGGCTTTAATAGTATGATGCTCGACTACCAAACGCCACCTACTTCCGCAAAAAGCTCCTTTTCGCAGGGTAGTACGCCGCCATCCACGCAGCGAGATGCAATGTACATGAATACCCCTGGATCTGCTGTGTCGGAATATGAAGACTTTGCACCAGTATTGCTGCGCTCACGCTCCTCTTCCCGCGGCCTTGTGGGTTCTTTGCCTAAACCACTCACTATAAACACAGACTCCGCTAACTTTTTGCTGGGTATGAGCAGTAGTGCTCAGACGCCGGGCGCACAGGAGGCGCTTAACTCGCCATTTGTTGGTGTGCTGTCTGAGGACGGTGGATATTTCCCGCTCCATTCTTCAGGCAACTTGCTGCCAGGCTTGCTCAGTTCAGCCGTTATCCCCGAGAGCCCCAAGGACATGCCTATGGCAAGTGGTAACAACAAAATCAACTTACCTGGACAATTTAGCCTCAGCGAGAAGAAGCGTGACTCTTTGAAGATGAAGCGTGGCATTCACTAGTATAGACTATAAACTAGTATAGACTATAAAAGACCAAGAACAACCTACTTTCTGTAAGTGTAGAGATTAAGTGTAGCACCATATTTCTTGCGCTTTTCAATCGATGTCATGCTTGACTAACGGCATTTTATTTTACTGTGAGCAATACACGATATGATTAAACACTTGTAGCTTTGCAGGTTTGTGGATTCGGTCCTTTTTAGTGAGAGTAATTGCAACTCAATTAGTTTCACTAACAATGAAGAGCATTTTTTAATCGAGCAGGTATTCATTTAGATGTGAACTCGAATGTGCAGACTGGATGAGCAGATAGAGTTGAATTGTTAATTTTCAGTTTGAGTTACTCAAGTTTGTAAGGCCGTCCATTCAATCCTTTTAGAAATGTTTACAAGAGCTTTCATTTAGTTGCAAGACAGATCTTTCTGAAGCGTCTTGAAACTAAATGATCGAGTTATAACACAATGCATAAAAGAAGTTTTCAGATACCTATCAGTTCGTATAGCTGTAAGTGGCTCAATTAGTGAGAAACATGCAACTTCGCAAGAAAAATGCGAAGGATTATCAAATTCCAAGATTCGCCAACAGATGAAGAAAAATCAGAAAACAGTGCTTAATACATACGCTTTTACCAGAAGATAAAAGACCAAGCAGCGAAAGAATATGGCACAACTACGAGGTCATTTAGTCTGCAAATCGTACTTCAATCTTTACTTGGTCTTTCGTTCCACTTGAGGCTAGTCTCAAGATCATTTCTGCTTGAGATAAACACCAGAAGCTGTTATCAGTGCTCCAGATCCCACATGCTTGGATATCCCAGTTGCTGCCGCATTAACTTTGGTCCATGGGGGCCTCTTCTCCTTTGAGATTCATGGTAAATTTTATGTATTTGTATGCAACGTCTCCAAATAAGCCATTGGAACTAGAGTTACTTTGCTCTAGAATACTCACTACTCTGTTAAATCCGATAGAGCCGGAAGCCAGCCACGATAAAGCCCGTATCTGTCATGAGAATGGTATTGAGGCGAATAATCGTTGTGCGAAAGAGGAGATGAGTGTTTAGAAAACAACACCACCTCCATAGGAGGTAAAATCATTGATGTTGCAGTTCGTAACCATCCACCACAATTACTGATGAAAAAAAGCGAACACTATGAATGTTTATCTTGACTAGTTTTGAAGAAGAGATTCTGAGATCCCACTGCAGGTCTTTCGCATCCATATCGAATGAGACTCGCGCTTATAAAGATCCATCTGCCCAAGACAATTACGCACCGCTTCACTATTGTCTTCTTTCCTCTCGCGCCCGGCTACAATCTTATACTTCATTCAATCCAGTATCATTGGGCTTACCTATAGCGACTTTTTGTCCTAAACTCTGCTTATTTGCGCGTTGTTCAAGTTAAGCATCTCGATCTGCTTAGGACTGTTTCCTTTGCTCACAAAAAGAAAGGAGGAACTAACATACAATCACTTTCAGACTAGTGTCTCCCATCAGGCTGCAAAAACGTGCACCTAGTTTCTGCCACCAAAAAGGTGGTTGCTCTTTCTCGACGCACCTGTCCATGTCGCGTGTCTTGACATTCCGAGTGCCGCCCGAGCAGCAGCAGGCGCCCAAACCTCTTTTGTCTGACCGCTCGTCTACATGGCCGCTCCTTCCGCAGCTTGCGCCTACAGCGGTGCGTCCGGCGCTGCCTCCGTCTCCCAAAGAGGAGTTGGTGCTCAATGTCTTTGGCCGTGGTCCTGATTCACTACTTATGCCACCTAAACACTCGTTACCTCCACCGTTCGCTTTCTATACACAATTTAATGGCGATGCGCTGTATATGGCTGAGCCACGGCTTCTGGTGACAAAACTTCTAGTGCTGTCGTGGTGCGAGCTCCGTGAATACTACGAAGTTTATGCGGGGCTGCCCCGCCGCGTTCCTACTGCACGTTTGACCCAGGGCACCGACTACCATCGCGTATTGGAAGAGCGGCTGCATCGCGCGATTGATCCACTGACGGTCAGCGCGCGGGTGGAGGAGATTCTAGGCGAAATGCCCGAGGAGCGCGTACTAGCGCTCACTCAAGGTGGCTCTATGGCCTTCAAATTAGCACACCAGTGGGTCGAACAGATTCTTGTGAGGTGTTTGGCGGTGGCCCACACAGGCTATGCGCGTGAAATGCATTTGCACGGGTTCCTTGATTTAACGTCGGGTGAATTGGCGACATCTAAATCGACAATAGGGCAAGGTGTGCTCGTCAACGGTATAGCAGACATGGTGCGACTCGAGCCGGCTCCATATGGGCACGACCGCGCGCTCCCATGGGACCCACAGGCTGTACTTGAATTGGGTCCTGCCCTCGAGGGAGCAAAAGCCCGCATGGACCGCCTCGCCACCAATCATACGCTCGAAGTGCGCGACGTCAAAACACGCGCCTACAATAATGTGCCGAAGCAGTCGCTGGTGGTGGAAGCTGCGCGCGACCAATGCATGTATTACGCCCAGTTTCTCACGACGCTAGCACAAAACGAAGAATACGCGTACCAAAGTCTAGTGGAAAACTTCACGCGGCGACACATTCAGACCTCGCATCCTCTTGGCGAAGCACACGCTGCAGCACTACTTATTACCAACTTTGGCGTGCTTGTAGAAGATTACAAGGCGCTCGCTCGGGGCGATGCTCTAAGCTTCACACCATTTGACAATGCGACCACGTTCTACGTCACAGAACAGCCCCCAGAAGCATACTCACTCGCAAACTTCGTGGATGAACCTACATTCAGGACACTTTTGGCCGACTTTCATGGAGACTACTTTGCGGACGTGGATATAAGTGTTCTCTTCCGCGAATGGAAACGGCCGTTGACCCCAGCATATTTTTGTGCTCGGGCAGCGCAGGCACTTTATCTATTCGAGAAGTTGAAGCCCTCATCCGTATGCGTAGAGTATCACAATGTCAAAACTGGACGCATCATCGAATGCAAAAGCTTTCCTTTTGACAAGCACACACTTGAAGAAGCTTCCAAGCGCGCTGCCCAGTTTTTGGGCAGGTACTCGACCACCCATAAGCACAGATGACACAGAACGCTGCAAAAGCTGCGACTTTCGTAGCCGTTGTGCCGCCGTGAACGAACAAGCCATGGATAAGGCTCTCGTTGGCGATGTCATCAAAGACTTCCTCGAACTGTAGAACTGATGATCGCTACATTAGCTTACGATGTTTGACGCCATCAAAGACATCACCACACTGGTCTATGGTGAGGTCTCTGCAGACTTCAGGACCCGAAAGCCCGGTTTTATTATGCGGGATTCGTTTACCACGTATATCTGGAAACGGCATATAAATGGAGATAAGTTCCCGATAGTGTGGAAAAATATAATCTCAGCACACTTTTATGTATAGTGGTTTGCACACGACCGGAATCTTAAGAATGTTACCCGCCACCCATGTTTTAGGTCTACAGGTTTGTTTGTGTGGAGCGGAAAACTCGGCATTAGTGCGAGCGACAAAAAAAGACAACCTTTCGGTTGCAAAGCGGCAATTATTTCTGTACACGCAGAGGCCATTGAACGGAAACTGTGGATCATACGATAACTAATCCGAGTTCGGGCCCAGCCGGCATCACTCTTAATGTGAGCAGTGACGTTTCCCCACAAATGGTCCGTCTGCACGAAAACATCATCTGCACAATAGCTTCATCTGTAACCGCTGCACCGAGCCCCACACAGACTAGCACGCGGGGCAGTCCGATCGCATCCACAGCGCCAAGCAGAAATCGTGTAGTTTCCGGATCTGCGGTTCTAAGATGCGAAAAAAGGTGCTTTCTGTTGTAAACATTGTGGCTGAGATGTGGGTGGTTGCACCGCACTAGACGCAAATGCACTCGGGTAGTGCATTTTGGGGAGTGCTCTCTTATTCGCCAACTCCGAAATCTGGGGTCGAAAAATGTGCAGGTGCGCACCGGGGACGGCACCTGCAGGTCCGGCGATCAAGGTCCGAGAGGATAGCATATTGTATTTTAGATGGTGGATTTGAAGAAGAAACATTGGACGCGATTGAAGGAACTCCATTATAAGCTCCAGTTGCTATGAATATGTATCCAGCGCAATAGTGCGAATATTAGCCGCTGGCATGGCTTCATAAGATTAAGTTTATCCTGCGCGAGTCCGAGGAAGGTCAGTTCCGACTTCCGAATGACACACGATGATTGGCCGAGAACTGGCGCGCACACTCTATGTACAGTATATACTTGCGATTTACGTAATCCCCGGTGTTCTCACTTGTGCCGTTTTATCCATAGCTTTGTTATAAAAAGGAAGCGATTTCGTGCGTGGGGGAAATTTAGAGAGAATTTTTTTTCTGCATTCTTGCTTATTTATCTTTTAGTGAAAATGTCTACTCTTCGTTCCTTGCAACGCTCTGCTTTGAAGAGAGCCCTCGGTGTTAGAACCTATGCTACTGAACCAGTATGTTCAAAATTTTCTTGCGTTTGACGAAATTTTTTTGGTAATTGATACTAACCATAATAGACCTTGAAAGCTCGTTTGGCCGAGATTTTGCCTGAGAAGGCCGAAGAAGTCAAGCAGTTGAAGAAGGAACACGGTAAAACTGTATGTATAAATTTGGAGTTTTCTATACTTCTGTGGAATACTAACAAGTAGGTGATTGGTGAAGTTCTCTTGGAACAAGCATACGGTGGTATGCGTGGTATTAAGGGCTTGGTGTGGGAAGGCTCTGTGTTGGACCCAATTGAAGGTATCCGTTTCAGAGGAAGAACCATTCCAGACATTCAAAAGGAGTTGCCTCATGCTCCTGGTGGAACTGAGCCATTGCCAGAAGCTTTGTTCTGGTTGTTGTTGACCGGCGAAGTTCCAAGCGATGCGCAGACCAAGGCCTTTTCTGAAGAGTTGGCTGCCAGATCTGCTTTGCCAAAGCACGTCGAGGAATTGATTGACCGCTCTCCTTCTCACTTGCACCCAATGGCTCAATTCTCCATTGCTGTCACTGCTTTGGAATCTGAATCCCAATTCGCCAAGGCTTACGCCAAGGGTGTGCACAAGTCCGAGTACTGGAAGTACACTTACGAAGACTCTATCGAGTTGTTGGCCAAGTTGCCAAACATCGCGGCTAGAATCTACAGAAACGTTTTCCACGACGGTAAGTTGGCTGGCTCCATCTCCAAGGACTTGGACTACGGTGCCAACTTCGCCACTTTGCTCGGCTACGGCGAGAACAAGGAATTCTTGGAGTTGATGAGATTGTACTTGAGTATCCACTCTGACCACGAAGGTGGTAACGTGTCCGCCCACACCACCCATTTGGTTGGTTCGGCTTTGTCATCTCCATTCTTGTCGCTTGCTGCCGGTTTGAATGGTTTGGCTGGTCCTTTGCACGGCAGAGCCAACCAAGAAGTTTTGGAATGGTTGTTCAAGTTGAAGGCTGACTTGAAGGGTGACATTTCCAAGGAGGCTATCGAGAAGTACTTGTGGGATACTCTTAACTCCGGAAGAGTTGTTCCAGGTTATGGCCACGCTGTCTTGAGAAAGACTGACCCTCGTTACACCGCTCAAAGAGAATTTGCTTTGAAGCACATGCCAGACTACGACTTGTTCAAGTTGGTCTCCAACATTTACGAGGTTGCTCCAGGTGTCTTGACCAAGCACGGTAAGACCAAGAACCCATGGCCTAACGTGGACTCTCACTCTGGTGTTTTGTTGCAATACTACGGTTTGACTGAGGAATCTTTCTACACTGTCTTGTTCGGTGTTGCCAGAGCTTTCGGTGTCTTGCCTCAGTTGATTCTTGACCGCGGACTTGGTATGCCAATTGAGAGACCAAAGTCTTTCTCCACCGAAAAGTACATTGAGTTGGTCAAGTCTATCGGCAAGAACTAAACGGGGACATCTATTCATGTCTATATTTATTGGGTACATAACCTGTTTGATGTTAACGAGAATCTTTCCCAATGTTAATGTAGTTGATTGGCTGATGTTGTACTTCGGTGGTGTCTTACGTGAATTTGTGGGACTTCGTCACCGTGGTCGTAACTGGGCACAACGCATGTCGAAATGACGTCTTCATGATTATCAATTTAGTATTCCTCATTATTAGAAGAACTCTACTCACTCTTGAGTATTATTGCATAGGAAACTCTGATCCGAAATCAAACGGCCGCTAACGTATATACGTTCATTTGTTTTCTTTTGATCTTATATATCTCTGTCATTCTTGTTCATATTATTTCCGACTTCAATCGATTCGCTCTCTCTCATTCAGTAAAAGCTGGGCTCCACTTATACTTCTTTTGAAAGCTACTTCAGAGCTGGCTACTAATTTACGCTTCCTTTCATTTACCTCTGCTCATTTTGGTCAATGAATTTTTCAGTGAGCTTTTGGTACTCCTACTCCTGCGAAACCCGTGCACCGCCTAGTAAGTCAAAACCTCTTCTTAATCCAACGCCAAAATGCTTCGGCAGCACGTGAGGCATCTCTCGTATTCCAAATGGCGAGCAAGTGCCAAACCTCTGTACGCAAAAACGCTTTTGCTTCCGAAAACTCCGTTTCTGCCCAAGATTCCTGTCGGGTCCCAGCGAGAAAAGTTGCTTGAAAAAACTGGACAGCTGCTCTACTTTTGGCAAAAGGATAGAGAAGCTTATGCCAAAGAGTTCACGTTACATGATGGTCCTCCATATGCCAATGGAGATTTGCATTTGGGCCATGCCCTCAACAAGATCCTCAAAGACGTAATCAACAGACACGAGCTACTTTTCCGTAATCTGAAGGTGAATTACACTCCTGGGTGGGACTGCCACGGCTTACCCATTGAAATGAAGGCTGTGAAGGATGCGGGCCAGCTTGGACCGGCTGAAACTAGAAGGCGGTGCCGCGAGCTTGCGGCAAGCATGATCGAAAGACAAAAATCCCAGTTTCACCAGTTTGGTATCATGACTGACTTCGATCATCCGTACGAAACAATGGCACATGGATATGAAGCAGCGCAACTCCGCGTGTTCTTGAAATTGCTCGAAAATGGTCTTCTTTCACGCCAGTTGAAGCCAGTGTGGTGGGGCTGCGAGACCCAGACTGCATTGGCAGAGGCTGAGTTAGAGTATAACCTGAAGCACAAGTCCACTGCAATTTACGTGAAGTTTCCTTTGCAAGAAGCAGAACAGCTATTGGGAGGTCCTGCTAGCCTATTGGCCTGGACGTCTACGCCTTGGACCATTCCTGCGAATAAAGCAATCTGCGTGCATCGGGATTTGGAATACACTGTTCTAGAGTCACCAACCGAGCGGCTCGTTGTTGCATCGAAATTGGCACCAAACGTGCTTAAACTCGATGAGGCGCTTCGTCCCACTTCAATTCGGATTATGGGTGGAGAGCTAGAAGGTTTACACTACACGAATCCAAGTTTTGATGAGGCACTAAAATTTCCTGTTTTGCATGGTGACCATGTTTCTGAAAGTGCAGGAACGGGTCTCGTCCATACGGCTCCAGCGCACGGTATGGAAGATTACCTAGTGGGGAAGAAACACGGACTTGAAGTTGAGTCTGTGGTGGACGCGCAAGGAAAATTCATTCCAGGCGCGCTTCCTAAAGGGTGGGCAGCTTTTGCAGGCGTGTACGCCAACGGGCGCGGCAGCATCGCGCGGTGCGTAGAACACATACGGGAGCAGGGAATGTTGTTTCATGCGGACGCGGCACACATCCACTCTTACCCGTACGATTGGCGAAGCAAGACTCCTGTGATTCAGCGTGCCACCCCGCAATGGTTTGTGAATGTGGAGCGTATCAAGGATACGGCGGCTCGCCTGTTGGACGCGGTGGAGTTTGTGCCTGACGCAGGTCGCACTCGTCTTGCGCTGTTTGTGCGCAACCGTAGCGAGTGGTGCATTCTGCGGCAGCGCGCATGGGGCGTGCCTTTGCCCATCGTCTACCACAAGGAGACTCATGAGCCGCTCACGGACTTGGTCGCCGTGCGTGCTATCGTCGACAACCTCGCGCAGCTCGGCACAGACGAGTGGTTTGTGCCCGAAGATGATGTGTCGCGCTGGGTTCCAGCGCAGTTCCATCCAGAACATTACTACAAGGGCCGCGATACCATGGATGTATGGTTCGATTCGGGTACACTGTGGACAACATTGGGTGCGGACGTCGATGCACTCATGGCAGCAGAACAACCGCTCGCCGATATATATTTGGAAGGCAGTGACCAGCATCGTGGATGGTTCCAATCGTCATTGCTCAATAAGATCATTGCATCGGGGACCGGCAGCGAATTCAAAGCCGTGGCACCCTTTCGGAAGATTATCACACATGGCTTCACTTTGGACAGCAAAAATGCTAAAATGTCCAAGTCTGCAGGTAATGTGGTGCTGCCACAACAGGTGGTTGATGGCGGCGGGCGGCCGCATGTGGCACCACTTGGTCCAGATGGTCTTCGTCTCTGGGCGGCGCTGTGCAATTACACTCAGGATGTGAACGTGACGCCCGAGGTTTTGGCTCGTGTGGGCGAGAATATCCGCAAGTTACGTGTGACATTCAAGTACATGTTGGGCAATCTCGCCAATTATAACGAGAAGGACATGTCGCTGGAGCACAAGTTCTCTCCTCTAGATCGGTGGATGCTTCTGCGCCTTGCACGTTTGCAGCGCAGCGTGGGCGAGGCGTATGCGCTGCACAATTTCGCGCGTGTGGTGCGTGAGCTCAATGCGCACATGAGTAGCGACTTGAGCGCCATCTATTTTGACGTTTGCAAGGATTGCCTCTACACCGCAGGTGCGCAACTGGAACAGCGTCAGGCAATCCAAGCGGCGTTGGATAGCCTCTTGCGGGCATATGTGGGAATGTGGGCCCCAATCCAACCATTGCTTGCTCAAGAAGTGTGGGATGTGTATGGCCGTACACCAGCAGACTCGCCGTTCAAAGTAGCGTGGGAATTTTTCGCTGTGCCCGAGAGTTGGGAAGATGCTGAAGTGGAGGGCGAGTTTGACACCATTTGGGCTGTGCGCGACGCACTTAACAAACAACTCGAGGCTCTCCGTGCGCGCGACCTCTTCAAAAACAAGTTGGAGGCCGAGGTGTTCTTGTCTGCTTCGGGTGATGCACACGCTCTTTTGGCACGCCATGCTTCCTACTTGGCGGACTACTTTGGTGTATCGCGCGTGACTTTGGGCGAGGTGCCCAACGACGCCGAAGTTGTCTTTGAAGCAAACAGCACATCTGGGAAGGTGCGCGCGGCCATTTCGCAGAGCGGACTGTGCAAGTGCCCACGGTGCTGGAAACACATTGCACCACCAGATTCTCTCTGCGCCAAGTGCGAAGTGGTGGTTCAGGAGATGTAAATAGCTTGTAAATATAAGCCACCATGTGGCTAGACTTTTGATGTGGGACTTGCTCTATTCTGTTTATGTGGTTATTTTTTTTCGATCCTCTTTAGCGTAATATTTCCAATTGACCCGCGTCTGCATGGTTGCCGCGCACTCAAATACAGAAAAAACGCAGTGAACTGCATGCCGCGCGGTGATCGTTCCAGCAAAAAAATCAAGAAAATTCCCACCGCACAACACACCAGCCATGAGCGCTGTGATACAGAAAAAAATCCGCAACTTTCTTGATGCCCGCAGCGAACTTCTTGCGAGATACAATTCGCTTGCGGCCTCTGCAGACCCGCGGCTACGCCTGGCCTTGGAAAATCTCCATGAGTTTGACCTTTTGAGTTTCTCATATCTTGCCATCAAGTCCTACTACGACCTCTCGAAGCTGCGCTGGGACCTGGATTACCGCAATCTCTTAGATGACTTTGTCTCTCTCAGCGCACGAATAGAGACGAAGCTCCCACTTACGGAGCTCTACCTGGAGATTCCTGGCTTGCAAATACTTCGACGTCAGTTTCGGGAGAATGCTCGAGAGGGCGGCAAAGTGGCGTATCTGATGGTGTCACTGCTGGGTCGTATGTCTGACATGGCTACGGTGGTAGCACAAGTCGCATCTTACGATACTAGGAAACCCCTGGTCGATTCTGAGTCTCGAGTAGAACTGACAGAATTGGCTAGTGACATATCGCATACAACGCATAAACAGAAAAACACATCGAGGGAAGAATACGCGCAGCGACAAAACCAGAAAGTGGCGCAATTGACCCCTCTGGGAGAAGGAGACGCCGTGGATCAAGCTAGCGAAAACGTGCAAGCTAAAGCGGACGTCACGAATAGAGCCCAATCGACGCGTCAAGAGGAAACAATTGCATATACCCAAACGCAAGCATTCCAGGCAGGAAAACCAGCAGAGGCGCAAATAGATTCGCTGAACCACGCACAAGCTCACACACAAGCTTACACACAAGCTCAGACACAAGCTCAGACACAAGCTCAGACACAAGCTCAGACACAAGCTCAGACACAAGCTCAGACACAAGCTCAGATCCAAGCTCACACACAAGCTCAAAACCATCCAACGTTACATGTGCAAGCACAAGCAAACGGAAATGTTCAAGCTGCACCAGTGCATACAATGGCGACTGTTCCAGCTAACGCAATCAATGGGACATCAGGGTCCTCGCGAATACAAATGCAATCACAAGCGCAACCCTCTCCCCATACACACCCCGGAGTGGAAACAGTATATCAACCACCACACTTGTATACCCAGCAAGTGTATATGCCTCAGTATGGATCAGCTCCGCAATTTCGTGCTCAAAGCCCCACAGGCCAGGCTGCAAAAGAGACTGAAAGGCAACCCAAAAGACCGTCGCCCATTCCGCCATATATGGCCAAGCGTGCAATGGGTGATACGTCGTTCGATCATTTCTCTACTTGGACACGCGAGCATGCACAGTGCATTTTTGCAGCCGCCGTTGCCAACCCGCGCACTGCTACGATGGCCATTCAGAACGCACTTCGCAATACTTTTGGCGTCATGATCAGCCCCGAGGCTGCAAACACACTCCGCCTGCACTATGGCATGATTCCTGCTACTGCAGAACACTTCAAGTATTACATCCAGACCTTTCACCTGGTCGCTTCTCAGTTCTACGAGAACAGACATAAGTATGTCACAGTACCTTGGGCAGACTTTCGCACGCAGTTCATGCGCAAAACAGGCTATAGGCTTGAGGACTGGGAAGTGCGCGGCCGCTGGGGGCTTTATTTGCTTCACCGTCGAGTGTACGGCGCGCGCGGCGAGCCTCCGTCGAACTATAATGATTTGGCGGAACGCTTTCGTGGACTTGTGCGCGAAGTGGGCCTGCAGCCGCTCGAGTTCACGCCCGATCCGGTTGTGGAATCTTTGTGGACGCCTGATATGGTGGCATTGCTTGTTGAGGCACAGCTGCAGGTTCCGCCCAATTTATCCAATCGCTTGCTTGTGATCCGCCATTATATGCGACTCAAAAGTGGTCGTGATGTGGATTTAGATTCGTTGGCAGAGACGCTGCGGAGAAAGGATGTTGTGGCTGCTGTTCAGCAGCGACTTACACAGCGTGTTGCCCCGTTCAACCAGCAACCTCCAGCGCAACATCCAGCGCAACATCCAGCGCAACATCCAGCGCAGCATCCAGCGCAACCTCATTCGGTTGGCATTCAACAAAACGTAGTAGATTTGCTGCAACAACAAGTTGCAAATCCGAATGTCCAGCCGGGTGCCTTGGTTGATTTGTCGACAGTTACAAGAACGCCTCCGCAGGCTGCAAATGCTTTTCATCAAAGTTCTGCTCAGCACAATATGTCAGCCTCTCTGCAAAGTAATAACACTTTGCAAGTTCAGGGTTCTCTGCAACCTACAACTGTAGCGCGTGCAGAAAAACGCGCTGGCCATTTCGACGAGTTGCGCAAGCAAATTCACTCGCTGATGCATCCCGATTGGTATTACCGTCAGAAATTAGCCAAAGCCGATTTGACCGAGTTTTGGACTTATTCAAAGTGTAAAACCATCGTTGCTACCGTGGAACTCATCAGCAAATTCCCAGCGGATACAACAAACGTTACTCATCAGGTTTGCCGCACTAATTTGTTCAAAATCATCATGTGGATGCTTCTCCGCGAAGACATGATACGTGTGCTGGTGGAGCTCATTGAAACACGCCTTGTGCGGATGATGGAGGCTGACGTGTTCGATGCAGCACTGTGTCTGCTCATCAATAACAACTTCAAAAAGACGTAGATAAGGAACGAAACCGTCCGAAAGGAAGGCAATAATATAGCATAACACATTCTCGGAAGTTCGAGAGAATGCATCAGTAAAGATCACAAAGAAATTGAGCAACGTAGAGGTATTTCGTCTACCTAGTCGTTTAAAGTACATTATGCTAGAACGTGACATGTCATCTATGCCTTTAAGGAGATACACAGAAGGGCTAAACCCAAGGCCGTTTGGGAAAGTACGCAATACACTAGTGAGCGAATCTATTAATACGGAACAACCTTGGCAAAGAAATCTTTGCAGCCAACTTTCTCGTGAATACCGTGGGAACGAGTGTGAATACATTCACATGGGTTCAATACTTTGAATAGCGATGATAATCGTTTTCTTGACAACTACGACACTCTCGATGTACTACAAGGAGAGCGAACAAAATCCCAAACTCTTTAAATTAAGCCTTAACTCCCATATTCGGGAAGAAGTATCTACTTTTTGCCACTCATCAACTGTGTCAACAACTGCGAGCTAGAAGACAGAGGTTCTGGTTGCGACTGCACTTCTGGTCTGCTAAACAAACCGGGAGGTGGTGGAGTAGCGGTGCGTGCACGGTCACTCATGCGCAATGCATTTAGCTGAGCAGAAAGATGTGGGTGAGCTTTTCCCTGGTTTTGCTGGAGTTGCATTAAGAAGAGCTGCTGTGCATCTTCCAGTGGTGGCTGTTGCGACTGTGGGATCTGAGACATTTGGGCCATTTGGGCCATCTGGGCCTGTAACTGAGGTTGCGGAATGTGTGTCTGAGCCTGAGCTTGCACCTGAACCTGCGCCTGAGCTTGGGCTTGCGCCTGTGCATGGGACTGCGCTTGGGTTTGCATTTGTGCCTGCTGACTTAACATTTGCTGCTGTTGACTTACTGGATGATTAGCATATGCCAAGTGATACTTTTTGATAGGCCGCAAAAGAAACCGCTCTATAAGCAGACGTGCAAGCACGCGCTCATCGTCCAACACCGCACGCGCCGAAGTATCCACAGTTGCATCGTAGTGGAACAACGGTAATGCACCATCGCCCAAATCATCAAAGTACACTTGTAAGGATTGACGAGCATCTGCAAGAGCAAGCATGCGCTCACGTGTATCAGCTGCTGTGACCGCCGCCAGATGGTCGTCGACATCGATATCGTCAGGCAATACAACACCGTCGCGAGCACGCCCTTTACTCTTTTTAGCATCCTTCTTTTGCAGTCTCTGCTCCTTGAATATCTCACTCAAGGCCGGGAACGCCGCTGGGTTAGCTACAGCCACCGTAGGTGCCAGTGGTGATGCACTTGCACTTGCAGGCGCCTGGCTCTTGGCCCAATGTGCTGTTGCTGGAAGCACTGGTGCATGCGCAGGACTACCCTCCTCTGATTCATCATCACCGAATGGATAGTGGCCACCTCCCGATGTACGCATGCCCATTTTGATACCTTGGTGTGTAGACAAGTCCTTGCGGGTATACGAGTCTGCTTCTTCGCCCGGCTCGTGTAAAAACATGCAATTAGGATTTGGGCAAGGGTGGCCACGCAAGTACAGCAGACAGTACTTTGTTGTGCCGTGGGCAGCCCGCAAAACACGCCCGTCACAAAGCAGCCCATCCAATTCGTTGATGCAGCGCAATGCATCTTCTTTGCGTGCAAATGTCACGTAGACAACAATGCTGTTATTAGCCGCTGGCAGCGGCGCCTTGCGGTTCACAACCATTTTCAGTATCTTTCCATACTGGCCAAAGTACTTGTCCAGGCGCAAAACTGAATGCAAATCCTCAGGCGCACAAGGCGGATTCAAACCCGTTACGTACACCAAGTTTTTTTGAACCACACGAAGGCCTGCCAAATGTTTCTTCGACGCAATTTCCAGCTCCTTCCGCTCCTTTTCACGCTGTTTCTTCTCGCGCTCTCGCTTTTCCTTGCGCATCTGCTGCATCTTGTACTCATCAGGGGAGAGCGTCTTGTACTCGACCGACTCATCATCATAAAGACGACGACAGCCAGGGCAGCGCCCATTCAACTCAGGATTCTGCCTGATGTTGTTGTAGCAAAACTGGCAGATTTGATAACCACAGGGGCACGGCTTGAAGTTTTTGTCGGAAATATCCATTTCCTCGACACATAATGGGCTGGGGTTAGTAGGAACAAGGGAAACAGAAATGCTTTAACATACCAATACTCGACCTCCTCATCGGAGATAAACAGATCTTCAAGAGGAACCATGGTGACGGATGCTTTAAGAATAGCCTTTGGTGGACTTGAAATCGCGAGAAGAAATATACACGTGACATCACATGAATGCTTCGTGTGCAGGTTGAGTTTGCCATAATCACATACGTTATGAAGTTTGCTTGAACAAAGAATGGTTTCGGTCGCCCACAGAAAGGTGATAAAAAAGCAATATTGCCAACAGGATAAGTGAATTACTAAGAAAATTCGGAACTATAGTTTAAGACTCATTATGAGTGCTACTGATCTGAGGTACTGATGTTCTTAGCCACAATCGGAATAATTTATTCACGACGGGAGACTTATATTGGTTTTGATATTCCAGTTTTACCTTCTCGTAGAGCCGAGATTTTTGGATTTGAATATCGTGTCGTTTTGTTCTTGTTCAAATACTTAATGCAGTGTATAGTTCCGTGTTCGAGGAGCTGATGGTGTAAGGGTGTAGAACCTCTGCAAAATTCATACCTTTTCCCATCATTATGGCTTTTCTTGTTGAACTCTGGGAATCGATTTTCACTCCGGGCACCACGCCTGCACTTTTGAAGGCCACCCATGTTTCCTTTGTGCTTCTCCATTTGTCACTCATTTCCTTGATCTACCTCACTCGCTCGATTCACTTTATCAATCTTCTTGTCATCGCCTTATTGTTACATGGAGCTGTCATCTGGTTTGTCAATGAGTTAAAGCAGGCTAAGCTCAAGGACAATACTGAGTTGGCAGCTGAAACAGAAAAGGTTGCCGACGGCGAAAAGACGGAAAGTGGTGAAAAAGACAACAAAGTTGCGTCCACGTCGGCAACACAGAAATCTACTCAAGCCAAGAAGAGGAAAGTATAGAGCCGACTAATAGATATACCAGGACAAGACAATAAAACAATTTCATGTAGTTTGAACATCAGTCCAAGAATGGTTTCTCAGATATATGAGGTGGAATACCAAGACATAGTATGTTAGTAGAGATTCATGGATATCGCTGTCCCGTAAGACCGATATGAAAAAAATGCATATTTCTCAGGGAAAAGCACACCATACCGTCAGGCCGCTGGAATAACTAATTGGTTGGGCAAGCGGAATAAAAAAAATGAATAAGCACGAGTAACAAGAACGAGCTTAATTGTTTGGGCAGATACATATCAGTAATGTGATGGCCTTCTCAATCAATGATTGCTTAATGACACAACTGACCAGATTCGTCCTTGAAGTTTAGCGCTTTCGACAAGGAATCTCGACCACAATCTTCAACATGGGTGACAATTTGAGAAAGTTTCCATGTGCATAAACAGTTCTAAAAAATAATCTGGGCTAACAAATAAGCTTTTTCAGGACAGTAGGAAGAATGCGCAGATATATGGGAAATTCGTAAATGGAAGAGGTTATGGTCGAAAGCGATGAAAACTGACGTGAAGTAATGCATTGTAATTCCACGCATGGAAGTAGTAGCTTCAAATATTTTCTGTGGAATAGCATGATTATTCAGAAATAACGCATGAATAATAAACGTGAAAAGCAACTAGGACATCAAATCCTTTTTCTTCCAATGGATTTTAGTTACACCGAACAATTTTCAAGGATCCTTGAACTTGCACAGTTTGGATGTACTAATATCTATATTTCACAATTTTTGATGATGGCCCTCGGATTAACATAGAATGTAACATATCCTGATAACCGTCATTTTAATTACAGCATTGGTATTGCTACATAAATATTGGAGATAAAGATACAAGAACAGGAAAACCCCCGATGTATTCAGCGGATATAAGCAGGCACAAAATGGGGAAGCGATATCTTCGACACCTCGATCAGGTAGTCCGCCATAGTAGCACCACTGCAGGTAAAATCGCGCATTGCACATATTCTTCATGTCTTGCTACCATTATCATGTATCATGAGCTTCAGACATGCGCTTCAGAAATACATTGACAATCCTTCAGATCCGTTGGTTCTATTCCATGATAATGACGTTGTGATAATCACGGACGCATTTCCGAAATCTTTACGCCACTACTTGATTCTTCCCCGTCAGAAAAACTTGACGCATCTCCATCCACTAGATGCACTTAGGAACCCACAGACATATCAAATGATTGAGGGGTATGTGGAAAAAGCAAAAGATATGATTGTGGAATCACTTTCAGGCGAGGGTTACATCAACGACGACCCCAAGGAAAGGGCAATTTTTAGAAATACGTTTATTCGAGCCGGTGTACATGCTATCCCATCCATGTCCAACTTGCATGTGCATGTAATCACACAGGACTTTTACCTGGCCAGGATGAAAAACAAAAAACATTACAACTCGTTCACGACGGCGTTTTTCGTAGATTTTGAAAAACTAGCATTGAATGTCGCCGACGACTATGATGGCGAGCAAACAAGCGACTCATCCGAAAGCAGTTTTGAGATTTTGGCCCGTAAAGATCACGAAAGCCACCATTTCAATCGGCGAAAAGGAGATCTAGAAAAATTGATCCGGAACAGCTCGCTAACATGCACATATTGCGGGGCACTGTTTGGCCTGAAGTTTGTGCAGCTCAAAGAGCATCTAGCGACAGAGTTTGACGCAAAATTTGGTCGAAGCGATTAGTAAGTTTAGTCATGCTGGTTACATGTCCTGGTCGGAAAGGCGTTCGAGGCGGGAAAATTGAAAAGCGCGTATGTGCACGACGGGCTAAGTTTGTCCGAACAGATGGGATTGGGTTAGTGTTTTTCCGGTTACAGTATTGGAGTATCGCGAAAGCAAAAGCCGGTACGACACCAAGGCATATGTCACTTCTGTACGCCACCAACTCTAACAATGAGAGCGAATTGACGAATATGACATTAAGGGGCACAACACGTAATCGTTGGTTTATTCCTGCCGCAGGTACATACATAATGTGGGCGTATGTGGGGAAATTTGGGGAAGTGTCGTATTTTTGAGAGCTGTATTTTTTGCGCCGAGCCCATGCAGGATGTGACATTACGGAAAAATTTGGCGTCAACAACCTGCATGGTTATCCGGTTAATAGGCTGTTATTACCGGGATAGATGATTTTTGGCTCTCTCAAAGGATTGTAATGACAACGGCAACGATTTTATACTCTATAAAACATTAATATCTAAACGAGTTGACATAAGAGAGAAGAAATACCAGCGCTATTTCTCCGGTGTGACGTGTTGGCGGAAGAAATTTCGGAAAAAGTGGAGAAAGTGGACAGATAATCCCGCACACATTCTGAGTGACATACGGCGCTTGACCGTCAAAAGTGCTGATTGGTCGATATTATGTACACACTGCATGACGCATGTGTACCCCACACAGAATTTCCGGAGAAAACATGAATTCATTGGGGGCTTGCAGCAATAACCCAAAATACTTGCTCCGATTTACAGCGACCAATATTATATAAAAGGGCCGGAAAAACTTTAAGCTAAAGTTTTTTTTTTTCATCAACAATGAGCATTTTGGAAGAGATCGGCAAAGCGTCGACTGATGAGTCGCAAAACATTAGATATGACACTACAGCAAAAATCGAAATGTCCGAATTGGGCATGAACTTCGACCTCGAGAAAGAATTCGAAGAATTGGAAAGAGATGCAAAAGAAGTAGATGCAAACCCTTCTTTTGTTGACCGACTTTTGTCCCTAGAGGTTGTTCTCAACTTTAAAAATAAGCAACACATGGTTTACCTTTTAGGATTCTTCGCAGCAGCAGCAGGATTGTTGTCTGGTTTGGACCAATCTATTATCTCCGGAGCTTCCATTGGAATGAAAAAAGATTTGAAGTTAACCACGCATGAACAATCATTGATTTCTTCTCTTATGCCTCTTGGTGCCATGGCTGGATCCATGATCATGACCCCATTGAACGAAATCTAAAAAAGAAAGGCAGCCTTGATTATTTAAAGTATGATCCTCCATCGGTTGCTGGTTTATGTG